AATTTATCGTCAGAAGCAATAAACATGTGCTCTGTTTTAGCTGAATTTAAGCTAAGTTTGTTAGCTTTCAACCAGTTATGAATATTGGAAATATCAGCGTTCACCTMTTCAAATAGAGTCTTTTGTGATGTGCCACAAGTGGTGAGACTTGTGTCATCAGCATACATTCTAGCATTTGAAAATTTGACACTATTTGGCAGATCGTTTATGTAAATAATAAATAATAATGACCCAAGGATTGAGCCTTGAGGGATGCCACAATCGAGTGTTCTAGAGCTAGATAAGGTATGGTTTATGTAGCATCTCTGACTACGATCTGTGAGGTAAGATTTGAACAACTTTATCGACTCTTCTGCAATCCCATAATGGTATAATGTTTGGAGAAGTATAGAGTGATTTACTGTGTCAAAAGCTTTTTTAAAATCTAGGAAAGTGACACAGTTCAATTTACCTTCATCCATATTGGTAAGCCACTCAGTTGTGGCTTCTAGGAGTGCAGTAGTAGTCGAATGAAGCGGTCTAAATCCCGACTGCTTTTGAGAAAGTAAATTATTTGAGTTTAGATACTCATATAACTGGTTAAAAACTATTCTCTCGAAAATCTTAGCAATAGTAGGTAAGACCGAAATGGGACGGTAATTATTCAAATCATCTTTGTCATTAGCTTTATGAATTGGCGTAACTTTCGCAAGTTTCAAGCCGTTTGGAAAAATCCCTTTATCAACTGATTGATTGAATAGCTTCACTAGTGATTGACTTATTACTGGTGAAGCAATCTTGATGAAATGAGATGGTATACCGTCAAGACCTGTTGCCTTTTTACTGTCAATAGAATTAATGATTTTCGTAAGTTCATCAACTGATGTGTGTCGTAAGGTAAATGTTGAGCCAATTCTAATTAAATAATCATTATRAGCAGTCGGTCCATCGGGAATTAAATAAGCTAATTTAGTCCCAATTTCAGAAAAATGACAATTGAATACCTCAGCTATTTCCTTCGAGTCACWCATCGATGTATCACCTGTTTTGATAGATGTTACATAAGAGCCAGATTTAGTCCTTCGTGAGAGGACTTCATTAATAGCTTTCCAGACCTCCTTTGAGTTTTTTGAATTTTATGCAAAATGATTTTCATAATATGACTTCTTGGCTCTTTTTATCTCGTTGTTGACGCGATTTCTAATAGACTTATAATCACTCCAGTCGTCCCTCGAATT